AAAAGCTCCGGAGCTCTCCTGACCTCCTTTCTCCTCGGCGGCGAGCGGAGCCTCTCCCTCGGGCTGCCGGCCGCGCCATGCAGCGCTCGCGGGGACGGGAGCAGGGACGCTGCGGCTGCCCGGCAGGGAGGGCTCACGGCGGAACCGGGATTTCGGCGCTCGTGCTGGACGCGGGGAGCAGCTGGGGCCGCCCGCCGCCGCCAACGCCGCCGCCGCTACCGCTGCCGCTGCCGCTGCTGCTGCTGCTGGGCTGGGGACTGCTCAGCACCTCCGCCGCCGCGGGTGAGTCCGGCCGCGCCTCGCGCCCCACCCGTGCCCCGAGCCCATCCAGCCTCTACGCGGTCCGGGTCCCTTCCCCCGCCCCCACCTCTGGTGGCTCAGCATCCTCCTCCGGATTACCCACCCTCCTGCTCATCCTCGCCTGTGTCTGCCCAGGTCCTCCGCCGGATCTTCAACCACGTCCTCACCTCCACCCTCAACCCTCAAGGCTGGCCCCAGCTTCCAGCCGCAACTTGGCCGGATCCCGCCGGTTTGAGGGGCCTGGGAGACAGACATCCCCTCTCTCGGGGTTTCGGGGCACCTGGACCATGGCTTCAGTTTCTCCAGCATCCCAGCCCCCCCACCCCCCATCCCAAGGTGCCAGGCTTTTCCCGGATAAACTTTCCCGGAGCCCTACTCCCCTACCCGCTCCCCATCCTGCTTGGCACGCCCGTCCTGGGGGCTGGGGAGGACCGGCGCGCCCCCTCGGCGTCTCCGCGTCTGCAGGGTCTGTCCTTCCCTGTCCCCGCCCATTTTCACCCACCGAAGCCCTTGCCCCCGCCAGAGACACGGGGAGACTGCGGTCGCCATCCACCTCCTCACATGTCCCCCTCACTCGGTGCTCGGAAAGGGGGGGTGCAGGTGGGCGCGCGCCCAGGTCGGGGGTCCAGCTCAGTCTTTACAGAAGGGCTTACGTGGAGGTGTGTTGGAGGAGGTTGAACCACCGGAGATGGAAGCGGGGGTCGTGCTGGGGGGGGTAGGGTATCGCCGTTAGGGTCCGCGCCACCTCATCCCGCCTCGGTTCCCACTCCGCGCCAAAGTGCCCTTTCCCGCGCCCTGCTGCAGCCGAATGCCCGGGCTGCGGCAGCCGTAGCGCGGGTGGCGGGACCCGCTCTGGGCAACCGAGCCCAGCAGACCTGGAGGGCGCGGAGTCCCGGGACTTCAGGACGTCTGTCTGACTGCATATTGCAGAGGCACTCGGACCTTCCAGGGAACCCAGTCCCACTGGACGTTACTGGTTTCAACTGGTCCTTTCCCACTTTACCCACTGCACCCTCTGGCACTTCAGCCACAACCTAGAAAGTTCCATGTGCCTATGTGGGGACCAGTCCAAACAGGGACGCCTGGAATTGCGTTCTTACTTAGCTGGAGGCTGACACCAACTGGGGGAAGAACACCTCCAAGCACCTGATGCCCAAGCCTGGATCCTGGACCTCGGGCATAAGCAGAGCTTGTCTTTTGTTTGCTTGGTATTTTAAAACCACGGATTGAATCTTGAAGGCTTGGCCTTGGCCACCCCCAAACCCTGGTGCTGCTTCTTGGAAAGTGCGCCCCTCCCCTGGCTGGCCAGTGAGTGACAAACTCTTAGGCCCACTCTGGCCTCCAGCATCTTGTGAACCGGTTCATGCGGACCATGTCGTCCACCCCTTAGTCACGGAATGTTGGGGTTCCAGGTCAAGGAGGGCGCCCCAAGCCAGCCCTGTCTTTCTATCCCTACTTGACCGGACTTTTTCAGCTTCTCCTGAGAGTCATAGCCACCAACACCCAGAGAGGGGCGCCCGCGGTGCACGCGCCTGGTTGCTTTGGCCTCTCGCACACCCACACCCACCAGCAGGCTGTTCACACCAATGCCGTGGGTCACCAAGACTTGCCACATGGGCGGTGGGGGACTGTTAGTACCGACGGTGGGGCCTTTGGATGGCTGTGTAGGGGAGCCCCTTGCTCTGCCTTAGCCAACTGGAGAATCACTAGGGATTTACGAAATTGCTTTTCTGTCCATGCTATGCCCCAGGGGAGAGAAAAAGGCCGACTCACAGGGCCTGCACAGTGCTCAGCAGTGCTGGAAGGCTGCCTTGTAAAGATCCATTTGTGCCTGTCTCTTTGGTAGGTGGAGAAGTTGGGGGATGTGTGGCTCGATGGGAGCAGTTACTCTCTGGCAGACCCATCTCTGGCTTCCAGAGCATTCATGTCTTTTTTTTAAAGCTTTCCTGTGTGTTTTCAATGTACTGTCTAGCCTTTCAGGCAGCAGAGATTTGGAAATGGACTTAATGACAGGAGATCTGCAGGATGCAGTTGCTAGGGATGGGTGAAAGAAGCACTTTCCTTCTGTGACCACTTCACATTGTTGACTTTAGAAGATGCTCAGGACCGAGCACCTCCCTTCCTTTGCCAGGTGACCATTGGCTGGAATGAATATGAGGATTTGATTGGGGGGGGGGCTCCTTGTCCACCATTTCCTGCTTCACTCAATTCCAATCTTTCTAACCCACCACTCATCCCACTCTGCCCCTGAGTCCATCGGACCCCTAGCCTCCCTGGAGACCCCTATCAGAACAAATGCTCTCTGTCAGTTCTCCCTCCTTGAAACTCCTGGGCCTGTAAACAGATGCATCTTCCACATAAAACACACCAAGGAGACATCTTGGCCCTCTTGACTTCATTTCATCACCATCTCATCTGTCTTTTACCATCACCTCTCATCAAAGCAGATCTTCACCTACTTTTCCCTGCCACCTGTCACTCGCTGCAACCCAACTTCTGTTGCCCAAGACTGCACTGGAGCATTCTGGAAGCAGTCATCCATGACCAAACCCACTGCACTTTTCCTGCTTTCCTCTTGGGCTCTACGGCCTTGGATATTCCTTTGAAATTTCTCTCCCTTGCGCCTTTGGGGATATTTCACTGATTTGAGCATGCCTCCTAAGTCTCTATAAGACTGACACCCACTCCTTCCCTGAAGTATGGTACCCTGGAGCATTCACTTGCCCATCCCTTTCCCTGGGTGAGCTCATCCCTGCTCAGACCTCCACTGTACACTCTGAAGCTTCCAGACAGATCTATCCTGCCAAATATCCTATATATCTGTTGGCTTCCCGGTCCTTGTATATTCTGGGTCCAGACAACCTATACATCTATCTGCCCACTGGGCATCTTACCTCTGGTGTTTCCCTTCCAAAGCTAGTGTACTTGTGCCTCCCCCCCAGCACTCCCCAGACACCTAGTCCAGAGCCTTAGGAGGATCCTCATCAGGTGGCCATTGGGGCCTGCAGTTTGACACCCTCAGTTTTCTCAAGCAAAATTACTTTTCTCTAGATTAAGAAACTCTAAATATTGAAAAGGTTGTGATGCACCTACATTGTTAAGAATTACTAATAGAACAGACACCAAACTATATGTGTAAAGAGTTGGGACAAAGTTCTGATTTTCTCCCATGTCATCACATTTGTGACTGAAAAAATTAATTTTTAGACAATGTGTTTGGATTGCATGTTACTTGAGGGCTGGTGTGCTGGATAACTTTAGTGTCAACTTGACACACCTGGTTGAGGGAGCCTCAATTGGTGAATTGTCTCCATTAGACAGGCCTGTGGCCACATCTGTGGGGCATCTTCTTGATTATTGAGTGATGTGGGAGGGCCCAGCCCACTGTGGGTGGTGCCACCCCTGGGCAGGTGGGCCTGTGTTGCATAAGAAAGCAGGCTGAGCAGGGGCCAGGGGAGCAAGTCAGTAAGCAGCGTTCCTCCATGGCCTGTGCTCCAGCTCCTGCCTCCAGGTTCCTGCCCTGACTTCCTACTGTGGGATCCCTGATGGACTGTGACCCGGGAGATGTAAGCTGAATACACCCTTTCCTCCCCAAGTTGGTAGTGGTCAGAGAGTTTTGTCACAGCAATGGAGAAACAAACTAGGACAGCTGGCTTTTATAAAAGGCTGCCTCTTGCACTCGAGGTATCCAGTGCTCTATTACGGTACCCATTGAGTAGTATGAAAAAGTGTCTGCCTCAACTATTATAAACAGTGAAGTTCATGAAGGTGGAGATTGCACTTTGATTCTCTTGGTAACCCAGCATCCAGGTCTGCCAGGCCCTCTCAGGACAGAGCTGGCGTTTGATGGACTGCTGTTAAATCTTTAGATGGTTTTTATATTCTTTTTCTTGGACAATTTTCCAGGCATTGATAAAAAAAAAAATTGCAAGTTATAGGGATCAAGGAAACCAGTTGGTTTGCAGAGGTGATGCAATGACACATACCCAGTTCCCAGTTGTCTTTTCCCCAAAACTAAATGTCACAGGTGGGTGAGCCAGCTCCCTAGATTCTAAAACAGTTACAAATCCTTGGCATCTCTAGCCCCCAGCAGCAGCATGCTAAGGAAAGCATTTAACTGCTCAGTCACCAAAGTGTGTTAGGACTTGAATTTCCATTTACAATTGATTTGCGGGCTTATGGCTTAAATATTTATTATTTATTATTTTTGTGTATGACTGTATTGCCTGCATGTATATAAGTAAACATGTTGGAGCCCGTGGAATAGGAGTTATGAACTGTTGTTAGCCATCATGTGGGTGCTGAGAAATGAACTCAGGTCCTCTGCAAGAGTAGTCGGTGCTCTTAACCACTGAGCTATCTCTCCAACCCCCAGGCTTATGGTTTTAAAGATGGAAGCTGACTAAAATACAGCAGGCGGTGCCTGATCTATCTAGGACTGGTGGCTGTGTGGTTTTCCTGAAGGGAAAGCTAGAATCAAGGGAACTGACGACCCATAACACAGGGTCTGAGCACCGGTTGGTTTTGAAGAGTCCAGCAGGTGGCTTTGGCAGCAGCACCTCAGCTCCTGTACCAGGCCTATCTGCTTCATCCTCTGTGTCATGTCAGCAGGAGTCAGGGAATTTGATTGCTCAGCAGACCACATGTTCCTGTTGGAGACCTGGCTGATCTTCAGAACTCTCTAACGCACAGAGTTCTTCACTTTAGAAAGGGACAAGTAATTCCTGTGCTACAGGAAGGATTCTACATGTGAAGTATAGCAGACCAGGGCCAGGCCTGCCTTGGGAAGGTGTCCCTTAAAGTGGAAGGTGGGACTGGATAGCAACTCCGAGGACAAAGGAGCCAGCCGGGGAAGCTGTATTGTCTGTATCCTGTCCTCCCCAACCTACAGTTCTCAGAAAGTTGTCTGCACACCCAGTGGAGTGACACCTGTAGCTAAGGCTCACTGAGAGCATGGCGTGTATTAACTCTGTCCACAGAGC